GCGGTCGTTACACAAAAGCGACGGCGCGAAGCAAAGCGTACTCGGAATCGAGTGAACGTTGTGCAACGTCTCGCACACAACAGCGCTGGTCGTCAACGATCACGAATGCTTGAGGCTCTGTCTGACTCAGACCCACCTTGCAGTACCAACACAAGACTTTTGGCTGCAAGCTGGGTGCGGGCGATTAGCGCTCTGTTGCGCGCACGACGATGAGCCAGGGAATCCCAGGACATTCCGTCAAGGAGCTGCTTGACCAGTCACGAGTCACTAGCTCCTCTTGGCTCATTTGTTGTACAGGGCCGTACCAATTGTACCTGACTGTGGGTCATAGCGCATCTCTCCGCTGTTGTACTCTTGACTGTATCCGCCGCGCTGGACGCTTTGGATTGGCAAGAATTTGTGCCCTCTGCAAGCTGCGCTGCACGACTAGTCGCTAACTGCGCTTGGCAGGCGCTTTCGTCCACAGCGAGGGGTCGAATCTGGACGATCCCCTTCTAGCTCGCGCGCAAGCAGGCAGAGATGTGTTGAATGCAGCAGCAGCAGTAGTGTGAGTACAGTCATGAGTCAGATTCCAGAACCACTGCTATTTAGCAGTCGTGAGTATTCTAACTCCTTTCTCCATTATCGGTACCCCTCGCGCGACTGACTGATTGTATTTATACTCTGCGATATCTCCGAACCAAACACAAAGCGCACTAGAAGCAGGTCTTCGGCTCCCATTTGAGGTCTGCTAAGCTCAAATTGCGGTCAGCCAGCGAGGCTGGTAAGGCGAGAGAGGGCCCAGGGACCAGCTAGCTGAGTCGTCAACATGGTGCTACAAAGCGTCAACAAAGCATCATTCTAGATCTCGTTTCGTCAATCGGGTCGTGCAAAGCGCTTTGGAGCGGAGCTCGAGCGATCGTCAAGGTGCAGCAACGCCTTCATCGCCCTGAATCAGATCCAGGCCACGAGCGCCGTCTACTACAAAGCGAGTCATTTTTCTGGCAAAGATGTGCCAGAATCTAGTGTACGGATGTAGACCTGAACAACGTCCAGAAGGAGGAGAAAAGTGAGGCCAAAATTTCAGCGCTGCCTCTCTGTATGATTGCGTTAAATCACGCTCTCAACTCACCGTCGTACCAAAAGTAGCCGTCACAGCTGGGCAAGGCGCTGCAAGGCGTCGTAGTGTCCTTGAAGCCATACTCTACACCCGACTTGTGCACTCTATCAAATAGCTCGTAAGCAGGGAAAACATCAATGGTGATCCTCACTTCTCCTCTGCGCAATTTGGAGTTGAACTTTTCTAGCAATCCCTGCACGACCACAGCTTGTTGCTCATTGTTCTTTTCAGAGTATTCTTGAGCTTCGGCCGTGGCATTGGGACCGTAGGCTACCACTTCGGGCGCATATTGCACCGGAGTGTTGGATACCAGCACGATGCGCCGGAAACCTTGCTTGTGGAGTGCTTCTAGACGACTACGAATGCAGCGCGTCTCATTCTCCACGGTCGCGCCGGGAAACAGCAATCCTGGCTTTACGAGCGGTAAAAGCATCGTTATCACCTGAACAGCAAAAGATTTTGTGGCCCATAACGTTGGTCAGCTCTACTGAGTGGATGGGGCGGAATGGGCCTGATGGTACGCACGTCATTTCCTCCAATGAAGATGACACCGACGGTT